TTCGTCATTTGAAATGATATCAAGATTCTTTGCTTCGGGATTAAACGTAAAATTATATAAAGCTATTCTACCAATAAAATGATATAAAATGCATCCAGAAATCAAGATAAAATTCTCCAACATGGATTATATCTAAAGTCATTCTCGAATTTTTGTGTAACTTTAAAAATAAAATTAAATTAAATTAAATAAATAAATTAATGTAAATTATATTAAAATATATAGTATAAGTTTAATAATAACTTATTTATAGTTCGAATATAACTTATTATAATCCTCTTCAAGGTCATTAAAACTGTATTTTTTTTACCGTCAACGAATCCGTTAGCATGCAATCGAGCTAAAACAAATGTCAAGCGAAGTTATAGTATTATCATAATACATTTGGATTTATTACTATTACTATTATCATTATCATTATTTTCATTACATTATTATTATTATTATTATAATTATTCAATTCAGCAGAATAAATTCCTTCCCTATAAAATAATCAAAATATTACATACAGTTAAATTTTCTTGGAATTAAATATTTTGAAAATGATATAAATAATGTTGTTAAGAATTATTCGTTCAAAAAATTTCGAATTTGGTTTTTTTCTGTTTTTGCTCTGATCTTTTATTTATTCGGATATTTCTTTGAGACTTCGGTATTAATTGAGATCGACTATCATTCATGATATCATCTATCGTTAATGATCTTTAATTTGTTAAATGTTTTAATTAAAAGAAAAAAAGGCCAATTTGAATATCGACATTTACAATTTATATATTTATTATATATAAAGTTAATAAAAGATGAAAAGAATGTATTTTTAAAGCATAACTTTGAAAATTCAAAATTTTTCTTTTAAATTTAAATGCATTTTCTGAGCGTAATTGGCATTTAATCGAAAAAAAAAATAATAATTAGCATTGATACGAAAATTTAATAATATTCCTCGACGTCGTGCTATTCTATAAAAGGTCCACGTTGTTGTTTTCTTTATGTCATTGTTGCTTTATAAGTTTATAATGATTGACGTTTCTTGAAAAGTTTGTAGTTCTTACTTTAAAAAGAAATTCTATGAATATTATAAGTAGTTATTTTATGCATTATAATTTTAAATATAATGTGTTCTTTTGAAAGTTTTTTTAATTTTTTTTTAATTTTTTTTCTTTAACAATGGCGTTTTCCAGTTTCGTATTAAAAATTGATTGTTGGAATATGGTTATGAAGTATATCAAAGTATAGATTAGATAACATTAATATAAATGATCGTTCGAATAAATATTGAATTCTATCTATAATGATTAAATAGAAAAAAGCAGTTCGATTCACGATTAATAATTTATTTAATTTTACATTCGTTGTCGATTAGATTTAATATCATTATTGAAATTATGAAATTTGCTTTGAAACCATTATTGACATAAATGATAGTAATAATTATAATGATAGAAATGAAAATGACAATAATAATAATCGGTGGCAACAATACAACAATAAGGAAAGATAACGAAGATGAGATGAATAAGATTAAAGACACTAAATAATTGATGAAACTAAAAGGAAAGTTTATCGTCACTAAAATCCATTGGAATCTTTGAATGAATGAAATACATGTATGATTTTATTTTCCTTTTTTTTTTTATTTTATTTTATTTTTTATTTATTTTATTTATTTATTTATTATTTATTATTATACAATATATAAAATTAAGGAACGTGAATTACCAATTGTTTAAACTATTATTATTATTTTGGGACATGATAAATATTTTATTTTTACAAGAGTTTTCTCGTAATTTGGATTTATTATCACTATTGTTATATTATTTCTATTACTATTATTATTATTATTATTAGTATAGTAGTAGTAGTAAGTAAATCAATCAAAATATTTTTATAATGATTAATTTTATTTATTTATTTATTTATATATATATATTATTGATAGATTTACATTTATTTTATTTTTTCTTAGAGGTGAAGAATGGGTAATAATAATAATTATAATTATAATAATAATAATAATAATAATAATAATAATAATAATAATAATAATTTATGATTGTGTCAAAGAACAATAAAATCGGTTTCGAAACAGCACAGCAACATCAGTTAAGATACCTTTTGCTAATAATTTACATGCCAATCATTTAAAAATTTTTTTAAAAAGGATTTTCATATTTATTATATTTATATATTTATTACTAATGGTTGATCATAAACTTTTAGGTAGAGAGTTATTATTGTTTTGGTAACCATTACATCAGATACACACTCATAATAATTATATAAAAATGGGATTATTTATTAGACAAAAAAAAAAAATAATAATAAACGATGGCAACTAAAATTTCCACCGAAATATTAATTATAATTTTAAAAAATGTTCAATCATCTCGTTCAACTCAAGATTTATATTCTTCATTATTAGTTAATCGAATCTGGTGTAAAGTTGCAATACCTATACTTTGGGAATTACCTTTGGGTCAAGAAAATTGGATAGATTATGGTTTGAATAAGAAATCATTATGTATTCGAACTTATATATCATGTATGAATACTTCAACTAGAAAATTACTTATTCAAGATGGATTTGATTTATCATCATCACCTCCTCAAGCCACTTTTGATTATCCATCGTTCACCCATAAATTTATAATTAATAATTTAGTTTATTTTATTTACATTTATTCACAACAAATTCTTAATCAAAATCAATATAATAACAATTATAATAATTATAATGATAACAAAATCACCCTCACTATCAAATCGAGAATATTATTTCATGAAATATATAAATTATTAATAAATCGTTGTACATTTTTGGATAGTTTTAAAATAACGGCAGTTCTCAAAAAATTTTCCGAAGAGTTTCTAAAGTATAGTAATTTAATTGGTTCAATCCTCACGTTTCCTGATGCCCCAAAAGTATTTAAGAAATTAGAATATTTTAGTTCGATGACAATAGGAGATGATGAACTAATTAGACCATTATATGAATCATTAACATTAATTTGTGATAATATTTTAAAGATGGATTTATTTTTGGGTTTCGATTCACATTCTCAAGTACAATTATTAACAAACCTTATAAGTGTTCAAAAACGTTTAGAAAATCTATCAGTTGTTTCTAATTGTGATTTATATTATAATTCAATATTTTGGGCTATCATTAGTCAAAAAGAAACATTGAAGAGTCTTCGTCTGAAATCAGTATTTTTTAATAATTTTGAACGAAAATCATCAACAATTGGACAATTTATTTCACTTAAAGAACTTTATATTGACGATTGTTATGGATTACATAATTTAGATTGTTTATCCTTGGCTTCATCATTTACTCAATTAAGAAGGTTTCATTATTTTCATTCGAATTATATTTATAGGTATCCTCAAGAATTTATTATAAAAATTCTCGAAACGGCAAATACAAATTTAAGAAATATTTGTTTACAATTATATCATACAATTACATTTGATATAGAATCAGCAATTTTAAATTATTGTACAAAGATTACCAAATTATCTTTACATAATTTATATCCTGATCAAGTAATAGCAATATTTAATAATAATTTTAATGAATTAAGAAAATTTTCATTTGATTGTGGAGAAGTGGGATTTGATGCTAATGAATTATTATGTCAAATGGCTGAGAATGTACCGAAATCACTTGAAATCATTAAAATTAGAATGGTTTATAAAGATCCATGGATATTTAGTTCTGATAGTCTAAGAAAACTTTTTGAAGGGTGGTGTTGTAAAGGAGGAGGAAATAAAAAGCTTAGGAAATTCTGTATAAAACGTTTATTACAACGAAAAGAATTATTTTCATCACAATTAGACTCGGTAATAATAGGTAGTGAATATTTTAAAGTTATTGAGGAATATGGAATTCAATTTTATATAGAATAAATATTCATTTATATCTTTGTTACGTATTATATAATTTCAATTAATAAATTATTTGTTGTCGTGGCGTATTTTGTGTATTTTTGATTATCATTTTGCATCAGAGTGATATCATAAAATGTAAAATGTGAAATGAGGATTTTTCAAATTTTTCGGATTGAATTCTTAAAAATTGGCAAATAAAATTTTCACATAAATATTTAATTATAATTTTAAAAAAGTACAATCATCTTCGTTCAACTCAAGATTTATATTCATCATTATTAGTTAATCGAATCTGGTGTAAAGTTACAATACCTATACTTTAAGAATTACTTTTGGGTCAAAAAAAATATATTATTATTGTTTAGATAATCAGAAGGTGGATTAAAGAGAAAGCATTATGTATTCGAGCTTATATATCATATGTGAATACTCAAATTAGAAAATTTGCTCTAATAGATTTTGATTTATCATAAATTTATAATCGATAATTTAGTTTATTTTATATTCATATATTCATCTAAATTTATCCACAACAAATTATTGGTTAGGATCAAAATAAATATTAAAATAATATATTAAGAAGAAGAATCATAAAGATACTGTACTGTCACCAAACCGAGAATATTGTTTTGTGTGAAGTGATTAATAATAGAACGTTGTAAATTTGTGGATTCTTTTGAAATGCTAGAATAATCCCATAAATTTTATAATTTAAAAAATTATAATTATTTAATTTGTCCAATTCACCTGGTTCCCCCTGAAGTATTTAAGAAATTAGAAAGTTTTATTTCGATGACTGATTTGATCATTATATGAATCATTTCCATTAATTTGTGATAATATTTTAAATATAAATTTGTCTTTCGATTCATTCTATCAAGAACAATTAACAAACTCATTAGTGCCAAGTTAAAAAATCTATCAATTTTTAATCACCAATACCAAATTCGTAATACATTATATTGAGTTATTATTAGTTTAGTCAAAAAAGAAACATTAAAGAACTTTCATTTAATATATGTAATTTATATGATTTCAGGTGGGAATCATCATCAATTGGACAATTTATTGCACTTCAATAATTTTATATTGAAGATTATTGTTGGTTTTATAATTCGAATTGTTTATTCTTGGCTTCATCATTTACTCAATTAAGTGCTTTTCGTCGTCATTTTCATTTGAGACATTTGAGATATTTAAATTCTTTATAAAGATTTTTGAAACAGTCAATACAAATTTAAGAATCTTTGTTTAAATTTATACACCACAGATACATTACATTTTAGTAATTTTAAATTCTTATACCAATATTACCAATTAGCTTTACATATTTTGCGTTCTGAACAAGTAATAGCAATGTTTAATAATAATTTTAATGAATTAAGAAGATTCTATAGGAAAAGGATTTGATGCTAATGATAATGAATTATTATGTTAAATAGCCGAGAATATACCAGAATCATTTGAAACCATTAAAATTAGAAAGATCTATGGATGGGATGTTTAGTGCTGATAGTTTAAGAAAATTTTTTGAGAGGTGGTTTAGTAAAGGTAGATCATTATTACCGAAAGATTTATTATCACCATTGGCAGCAGCAATAAGTAGTGAACATTTTAAAGTTATTGAAGAATATGAAGTTCGATTTTATATATGTCTCTCAATCCCTATTTATTGAACTTCAAATAATATTACTTTTATTCCAAATACTAATCTTTATTTTTTTTATTGCATCTTTGTGATTATTATTTTTAATAAATAAATATGATATTTGCTTATTCTAAAGATGACTAAAAAAAAAAAATAAAGAGAATAAAATCCTAAATATAAATATAAAAAATTATCAGAATTGATATCAGAGTTGATAAAAATAATTGGGTTAATCTTGATTTTGTCTAAATAAGATTTGGCTATAAAATTAATAAATATTTTATTTTTTTTTATCCGTTAAATTTGTTAAATTTTAAATTTTCGTAATCGTAACCGATATCAAAAAAAAAAAAAAAGATTCCAAATAATTATCAAGTAGAAACAACTTTAAATGGTCATATGTAAAACAAAAACACAATATCAACTTTCACGTAAAATTATTATAGCCAAATATACTATTGAATGATATAATTTATCATCACCAGGTTCTTTATTTTTAAAAGTAAGTTTAATTAATATTTAAAAATACATTTAACCAAATGTTTTATTAATAAATAAAATTTTGTCATAATTATCTAAATAATAAAATGAATGATTATGTATTCTAATAATTCACTGGCATCTGTATTTCCATTTTCTTTTGCTTTATTTAACCAATATATAGCTTTTATAATATCTTTCTTGGTTCCATGTCCATCAAAAAAGAATATTCCAATCACGTATTGGCCATTAAAATGATCATTCTCTGCAGCTTTTTTATACAATTCAAATGCTTTCTCTTGATTCTCATCAATTCCATGACCATTTTCATAAATATATCCTAAATTATACTGTGCTATGGGATATCCCTTTTCAGCAGCCTTCGAAATCCATTTAAATGCTTCTTTCTGATCTTTACCCACACCTTTACCAGTATTATAACAATAACCAATTTCACGTATTGCAATGATATTTCCTGCATAAGCTGATTTTAAAACCCATTGAAATCCTTTGGCTTTATCTTTTATTGTTCCTGTTCCATTCATATAACACAAACCAACATTATATTGTGCTCCTTGAAATCCCTCTTTAGCGGATTTTAAATATAATTCAAACGCTTTTTTTTCATTCTTTTCAACGCCAATTCCTTCATCATAACAATATGCTATAGAATTTAAAGCTATAAGGGACCCTTTAGCAGCAAGTTTATAATAAATTTGAAAAGCCTTTTTTGTATCCTTTTCAATACCTAAACCATCTGAATACATATTTGCAAGAAAGCCGGTTCCTATTTCTTTGTTAATATTGTATAGCTTCAAGGAGGAGGGGGAGGAGGAGGAAGCATCAATTATTTCATTAACCGCTAAATTAAAGAATTTAAATGCCATTTGATAATCAGTAACAGTTCCAATGCCATACTGATAAAAAAATCCTATCAAACAAGTAAATAATCGATGAGATGGATGACCAATCATTTCGTATAAAATTTTAACTGGATTTTTTTTGTGTTTTCTAATATAATTTTTGATCCTAATTGGGCGTATTTCTTGAAATTGATTTTTGCATAAATTAATGAAAAATTCCAATAAATCCTTAGTAAACTCATTAATATCAGTTAAGACATCGACAAAAGGTGGATCAGGTTGTTCTTCATTTTGTCTTAATAAAGAATTTTATAATTTAATAAATGTTTTAGATTTAAAAAATATTAATATATATATATGTATATATCTTACATGAATGATTTTTCTAAAATAATTTCATCGGTGAAATTGTAAGGCTGTGACTGAGGAGTTACATTTTCAAAACTTTCATCAGAGATAATGATTTCAGAAAGATTTTTAACCACTTGAAAAATATTTGGTCGTGAGTTTCTATTGTGCTTCCAGCAATCTGTTGAAAATATAACATTAATAATTTATCATATTAAAGAAAGAAATAATTTAATAGATTATTCAATTTTATACCAGTATATATTTCCTTGTATTTTTGAGGGGTTCCAGGTATAACCATTTCCCTTTTTCCTTTTGCAATATTGTTTAACAAATCAACATTTGACGAGGATTCCATTTCAAAAGGAGGATTACAACTAGAAATCTCCCAAAGAATAATTCCTAGACCAAAAATATCGGAACTCTTATTTTTGCCAATCGAACTGAAGAGTTCTAAATGTAGAGGATCCATGTATTGAATTGAACCAAGGTTATTTGTAAGGAAACTTAAAGAATCTGAAATAATTTTTGTTAATCCAAAAACATTAAATTTAATGATCCCATTATGAACGAGAATATTTTCAGAATTCTAATTAAAATGAATTTTTTAATTAAGAAAAATAAAAATTAAAAATAATTCATTTTTTTATGAAATTTTATTATTTAAATAAGAATATTTTTTTTTAAAAAAAAAATAATTACGAATTTCCCATGAATGATATCATTAGAATGTAAAAGCTTTAAAACATTTGCAATTTGTTTTGCGAGATTTAATTTTACATTCCAATCCATTTTTTTGAAATTTGTTTTTAAATATTGACGAAGGGAACCTTCATTAACATATTCAAGGATAATCATAAAATCATTGGTATTCTCTATAAAAATAAAATTAAATAATTAAAAATCAATTATAGAAATTTAGATATTTTATATTTGCATACCTTTCTTAGTGATGCCATAAAACTCGAGAATGTTATAATGAATTTCCAATTTTCGATGACTTTTAACCTTATTCGATTTAAAATAACAAAAAAAAAAACAAAATCGAAAAAAACGTAACGTCAAAAGAAAATTGAAATATTCGAAAGAAAAAAATAAATTAATTTAACCAACTTCATTTATTAAATTGCCCAGTGTAAATTTATCATTCAAAGAAACACATTTAAGAGCAATGGTTTTCTGAGAAATTTTAAAAGTGGCTTTATAAACATTTCCACTTATCAACTCCACATTTTCAAATTCGGAATATTGATAAAATGTTATATTTTCTTTTCGAACCGTAGTATCTTCAATAATCAAATTGTCAATCCAAGTTTCCCATTCTTTTTCATTTATCTTTTCTTGTGACATGATGAATTAATAAATGTTCTGTAAGTCACACCAAATAAAATAATTCTCTAAAACCAAATTAAAAATGTTTTAATAAATAAATTCAATCACATTAGTTGTTTTTTGAATAATGGTTTATTTGTCTTTTACCTTCTATTTATAATAAAGAAAATTCTGAATTTTAGAATGGATTATTTTCCTTTTTTATTCCTAATAATTTAAGTTTGCATTGGATTGTATTACTTTGAAGACGTACAAACAATTTATAATAAATCTTTACCAAAAATTCAAAATAAACTAACCATTTAAGTAATTTTTTAGCTTTCATTTTTTTGTTTCGTTGTGTTTTTTTTAAACTATTATAGAATTCTAAATAATTAGCCCATTCATAAATAGTTCCGGTTCATTATTTTCGATAAGATCGATAAGTGCATCTTTACTAATATTAATATTTTACTAAATTTCTCACCATATTTCTTTTGAATTTTCGCAGCTTTACTAACCTTTTGATACGGAAATAGTTTCTCCCTTAGGCGGCCGATTTTATGATAGGTAGATCATATGATAACTTATAATTGTGTGTAACTCTATTATAATTCATAAATTTTATTTCTATATTAAGAAATTTGGCTTTAGCCGACTAAGCCGGATAAGTTAATTTTAAAATATAAGCTTAGCCGAGCCGATTTTTTTAGACCGGCTTCGGAACACTAATAAAACTTATGGAAATTAATAAAAAGGTGGGAGGATTTTATCTTCAGCAAAAAAATTTTTAAATTCAATAAATTTTAAAAATCAATCTATAATACTATGTGGTTCGCAATTAAGGTAACATTTGTAATTAAAAATTTTTCCCTTTTTGGACTTCGCGCGAGGCGCAGATCGATTTAATACTAAGGTGTTTCTAAGATAGTGAGAACGATCTTGTTCTTTGCTACAAAATGATATATATTTCACTTCTGTATCATTGATATTCGCAGAGATCGCATGGTTTAAAGAAAAATATTTAAAAAAAATGAGCAAATTTTCGCACAAATGGTTTTCTTTAAACAATATCGATGCTACAGGAACATGTCATTTTGTAGTTAAGAACAAGGCCGTTCTCTCTATCTTAGAAACAGCTTAGTAGAAAATCGAATTGCGCCTCGTAACTCGCGAGCGAAGTCGAAAAAACGGAAAACCCGCACAAAAAACTTGCGCCTAATAAAATTTTCTGATAATAATTTTAATTATTAATCTATCATCGGGCAGTTTGTAAAAAAAAAAAAACTTTGATAATTCTAAATTGTCAGATTGGCATATACCCATTTCTTATTTAAGTACCCTTGTTCATAGAGAAAAGAATTTCCCTTCTATTTTTACTCTTATTTTTACTTAATTTATATTTCTATTTCTATTTCTATTCTGAATATAATTAAAGTTTTAGATGTATTTTAAATTTATATACTTAATAAACATTATTTTTTAATATAACTTTTATTTTAAATATCAAATATACTTAACCTTGTATCAAATTATAAATTTATATTTCAATATAAGGATCGCCCACAACAAAAAGGATTTGAGAAAAATCGGTTTTAAATTATGTAACGAAAATTTACACTTTTTATAATGTGCGATAAAATTTTAATTTAAAATAATTAAAATAATTGTAATACTTATAATATAAAATATGTAAACTTAAATAACTTTATTTGCACTTTCATTATCGAAATAAATATTTGTTTATTAATATTTTAAAAAAAATGCAACAGTTTGAACGGAAAAATACATTTTTCAATAAGTTGTGATGATATACATATAATCATGACAAAATCTCAAAAATTTATTGGGTGAGCCGGAAACCCATTTATACAGTATACATGAATTTTTTATTTGGTTAAGAAAGGAAATCGTTTATGCAATACCGCTTTTTGTATTCGGAACATTCCGTAATTATTATTGTTGTTTATTAATGCCGCAAAACGGAATTTATTTATCCGACAATGTTTAGATTTTATTTAAAAGAAATGGATTGAGAAACTAGAAAAACGGAAGAATCAGAAGAGTAGGCATATTGTTATATTAAGATTTATTTAAATTCATAATTTATTACCACATAAATTATATTCTTAATCAATTATAAACTTTCAATTACAGCTTGTGAGTATTTAGACTCGTAATTATTGAAATCAATGTTACAATTTAATTCAATATCATATAACAATTCACTAATCAATTATAAACTAATCAACATAAATTATATTACAGCGAGTGAGTATTTAGATTCATAATTATTGAAATCAATGTTTCAATTTAATTCAATATCATATAATTAATTATCAATAATATTTTTTAGAGAGTGTAGTAAACAATTTCAAAATGAATTTGATAAATGGACAAGTGAAGATAAAGAAATTGATAAATTTTTCCAACAAATACAACTAAAGGCAAATAAATCTCGAGAAATTATTGAGTGGATTCCTTTGAATAGACTTGAGAATGTTACATAACTTGCTAAAGGAGGTTTTGGTACAATATACGAAGCAAAATGGCTTGATGGACCTATCCTTTATTTGAATAATTTTGAAAAAACTTGGAGCAGATCTGGAAAAACAGATGTTTGCTTAAAAGTTCATGATAATTCCACAAATCAAATTGATTTTTTGCAAGAGGTAAATATTTCATTGTTTAATTTTCATTATCATTATTTATATATATATAATAATTATATTTTATGTTAAAATATTTTAGATTGAAAATCAACTAAAATTTCGAGGTAAAAATGCAGTTGCAATATATGGCATAACTAAAAATTCAACAAAAAATGAATACTGTATATGATGGTTATGGATTATGCAAAACGTGGTAGTCTTCGGAAACTGTTAAATAACAATTTTAAAGAATTAACTTGGAGGAAAAAATATGATATTTTATCAAATATTGTAAATGGACTTAAAAATATCCATGAAATGAGCTTTTGCATAAAGATTTTCATTCCGGCAACGTAGTTAATCAAAGTATGGCTTTATCTTATATTACTGATTTTGGACTGTGCAAACCAATTACAGAAAATGATACAGAAAAAATTTACGGTGTAATGCCATACATGACCCTGAGACCTTGAGTAAAGGAGAATGCACTCAAGCATCTGATATTTATTCTTTTAGTATGATTATGTACGAAGTTCTAACTAGTTATCCACCATATTATAATATTCCACATAATGAAAAACTTGCAATGGACATTTGTGAAGAACTTAAACCTGAAATTAAATGTGAAATTCCTCAATTCCTTAAAGAAATAATGGAAAAATGCTGGAATTTTGAACCTCTCAATCGTCCAACCGCTGAAGAATTGAAATCTCAACTTAATAAACATTATATTAATCCTTTTTTTTTAAAAAAAATAATGAAATAAGTAATGAAATAAAAAAACAAGTAAATGAACAAGTTAATGCAGCAAATAAATCAAACATGAATTTTATTCAATATAATCCAAAAGAAATGCATCCTAAAGAAATATATACAAGCAGACATTTTCCTTTTCTGAAATTCAAGAAATTTGAAACTAATACACATGGTAATTATTTATATTTTTTAACAAGAAATAAATGGACTTTTTATATAAAATATTTACATTCAGTATTATTTTAGATACAAGACAATTGGAGTTTGAAGTTCCTAATGATATAAGTAAATATTATATTTTATGAATTATTTGTTTGATTATTGTTTATTAATTTATCTAAATGAAATTAACAATTATTAAATTTACATAGTTGAAAAAAATGAAATTTCAAAAAATTAAATCTTGATGTCATTCATATAGGCGCAACCAATTTTTAGTTTATAGAAGGTCAAATGATAGTGACGATCAATAAACATTCTGATTTGCTAATCTTGTTTGTCTGTCTAATTTAATAAAAATAACAAAATAATAAAATAAATATTTCGAAAAAAAATAAACGTTTTGCATACATTAACTATTTCATACTATACAGCAACCAATATTTTAAAACTTAATCAAAATAATACTATTTATACATATACCATTATTAAAGAAGGCTTTTATCCTTTAAATGATATACTTAAATATATTTTTTCTAAGTCTGGTGAAAACATTCAATATAAAATACCTGATGAGTGTGTAAATTACATAAGTTGGGGTAAAAGAAGTTGAAAATAGGTATTGTATCAACATAGTTTATTTCACATTTTATTATATGTTTTGAAGATTAGTTTTGGAGATAACTTTCAAACTTGTATAGAATCAGTAAATTGGCAACAGATGTAGCAAATAAATATTTACAAGTAAGTTCTTTCTTTTAATATTTATTATGTGCTGTATATATTGTATATAAAATTAAATAATCAATTAAATTAATTAAATTTTTATATAGACAATAAATCCAAATACAAAAGCTAGGCTTTCTGGTATTTATGTATTTGGTTTGAATAGTCAAGAATTAGAAAGAAAGCATGAAAGGAAATATCAGCCCCATTTTCTTAAACCATTTAATAAGCTTGGTAATACAATGAAAATTAAGTGAGCACATAAATTTAGTGAACTTGTATCAAATAGTTTTAATAATATAGCAACAAGTAATCTTCATTCAGATGACAATCCTATATTACAAGAAATTCATTTTAAAGCTCAAAATAAAAATATTCAAGTTAATTTTGAAGATAGAGATTTAGAAAAAGAAAATAAAAAAATTGAAGCATTTACCAAAGTAATTGATCAGAAATCAATTGCACAAGATTCTTATCGAAGCTTGACTTCACTTTTACCTGAATTACCACATGAAAATGTTATTTATAAAATGAAAAAAATGAAGAAATGGAACATGCAATTCCTATTTCAATCTTGAATATATTTGATCTTTCACCTCTTATTCCAATTAATGAAAGTCCTGATATTAATAATCTTGAGATTAAAGAAGAAGTTTTAAAATATGTAGGAAAATCTGGATATCATCAAATAACAGATATTTTACTTTATAAAATTCCAGGTTTAATAGATCAACATGTTCTTGATTCTAATAATTCAACTATTAATTTACGCATATCTAAAACATGTGATGATTATATGGATGATACTTCAAATCTTCAAAAAGCTGATCGCCATTTTACTGAAAATTATGAAATATTACAAAAAGTAATGGAGCAAATGATAAATGATTAAATGATTTAACTACACATGGATTAAAAGATTCAACTGGAAAGATATTGAAAATAATATTATATTTTAGTAGTGATTGGAATTTTTGGCAATTATTCTTGGTTTCGATTTAGCTAATGCTAACTATTTCTGTCCATGGTGTTTATGTACAAAAAAAAATATTGGTGACAAGAATAAGGTTTGAACCATTGAAAAGATATAAATCAAATTAAGTTAGCTTTTCTTAATAATCATAAACCTCCTCCAGGTCATACTAAACCTTCACTTCTTCCAATGATTTCTTTAGACAATTATATTCCAGATGAACTTCATATAATGTTGAGAATTTGAGATTGATTATGAGTTTAATAATTCAAGAACTCAAAATTAAAAATCAAAAAATCAATTTGATTCAACAAGAACAAAAATTATTACTGAAATGTGTCGAATTTCAGTTCCATTTTATTTTTGGCAAGATCAAGGAACACGAAATTGGGCAATTACATCATTAATAGGAGATGATAAAGAAATTGGTTTGAAAATTTTTAATTTTGAAGTTATCTTTGATGAAGAAAAAGCAATTTTAAAATCAATAATTTATGGCGAGAGTTTTATCAACTTTACAAAACTATAAAATCTAAAGAAACTAATTCAACTCAACTTTATAATCAAGCAAAACAATGGTTAGATTTATTTCTTACACCATCACAAGGTGAACCTAATACTATAACTTTTAAAATGGGACTTTATCAAAGGATATTCCATACATTCATATTTTAATTAATCATTTCCTGAATTTATGGAATGACATCATCAATTTAGTTTAAGTGACTTTTCTTGTTCTCCTGCTGAAAAAAAAAATCATGATCAAGTATCTATGTTTTTTAAAAAAAAACAATGAAAGATGGGGAAAAAGGAATGGAAAGAAAATCTGCTATTTTGAAATTTTAGATTATGAAAATCAGGCATTATATTTTTCTCAAAAAAACACTATAAAAAAATATCCAAAACCACAACATATTAATATTAAAAAGTTAAAAAAATAATTTTAAAAATTTTATTAATAAAATATAGAGCATAAAAATAATTATAATTAATTTGAATAAAAATTTTTTTAAATTAAATTGACAATAATATATTTTTTATTTTTACTAATTAACAAAATTTAAATCTATAATCTATATAATCTATATAATAAAATATAATTTAATATATATACATTTTTGTTGACAAAAAAATTTGTTGAGTGTAAAAATTTAAGTAAATATAACCTGCTGAAGTTTTATTGTTCTTTGCATCATTACTTCTTTTGCATTTCCATTCGATTATTAATTTAGGTAGCTTAAAATTTTTTAGTTGATTTTTTTTTGGAATTCATTTTCCACTTAAATCAAAAATATCTTCTTTATTAGCTTCTACCTCTGCTCGTGCATCAAATAACATGATAAAAGTTTGCTGACTATTATTAAAAAATCTATACCCCCCCCCCCCAATTTTGATTATTAAATAAAGTAGATATTTGTGAATATGCATCTGAATCTTGAAATAAGCACTTGTAACTGCCAGAACGATGGTTATAGTGATGATGAATATGTTCTCTAAAAACTTCAAAAAATAAACTCTCCAAACAAGGAAAAGAAATTGTTTGTTTACCTGATTGAGAAAAATGTTCCTTAGTTCTATATGAAACTTTGCAAACTGTACACTCATATTCTTGTAAAACAGGTGGTAAATGAGGTGAGCATGGTGGAGTAAAAATAGTAGAAGCATATAAGGAATCAGCTTTGGTGCTCACGTTTACTAAAAAATATAAATTTAGTTAGTTATATAGTAAAAAAACTTGTGGCTTTTTGTATTTTTACTTACTTGACAATTTATTTGATGGGAATGATTGATTAGATTGGCTAGGCACGGGAATAATGTCGGTTTTGGCGTTTTGACAATAATAAATTTATAGAATTTTTTACATCAGCTGACAATCGGATATCCAATAATAACAACAAGAAATAGCTGACTGGTAACATCTGAGGACCCTAAAAAGGGTCCAATTATAAAAGTGCGCGATATGTATACAACCTTTGTATTTTTCCTAAAATTATTCACTCATTATTTTATTATATTTTATATTTTATTATTTTATTTGATCACTGGAATTAACCAGACAATTTAAAATTAATAAAAAAATTACTAAATTTAAAATTTAATATTATTAATGAATTTAATTTATAAATAAAGTAAGGTATAATATATCGATAATTAATAAATTTCATAATATATAACTTAAATTTTATTTAAAAATGTCAATAATTTTTTTTTTTCAGTTTTGAAATAATGAAAGAAAAAACAATAATGTATACGTTGATAATTTTATTTTGTTTAATTAATTGATTATTTAAATTATGATTACGTGAAATTTATTTTCGCTTATTTTTATTTTCAAACAATATGAAATTAACGAATATAATTATATAGTTATTTTGGATTATTTTGATTATTTCAAGGGAGAATAAGTTAATAGATTTTCCCGTATAATTTCGTAAAAGAAAAAATAAAATAATTCATAAATAAAGAAAAAGATTATTTTAAGAGAAATATCTGTAAAGAATAAGAATGTAAAGAAAGGAATAAAACATACTTTTATCATTTCTATTATTTCTATTATTATCTTAAACCAGAAAAAAATTTCTTAGTTGACCAATAGTTTCTAGAAGAAACTCACTAACCATTCCATTATTGACTTTCCTTGACCGTCTTTCTGTAATGGAGGTTTACATGGTCTAACTAATCTAATAGAATCAATCCACTGTAAAAATATATAAAATATATAAAATATATAAAATATATAAAATATAAAATATATAAAATATATAAAAAAAAAATAAATATTATAAAATTATTTTTAAAAAAAATAAAATAAAAAATAAAAACTTACAATTCCACTTTTACGAATTCTATCTTCATGAATTTTACATTCGACATCATACCATTCATCTATACCACCCTCAGGTATATCTATAGCACGAATAGGAACATGATATTCTACCCAATCATTAATTTCTGCGATATCCTTAAAAGTATCATGACCAATAACACAAGATTCTTCAGATAATATTATACTTTCAGAATTTTCTTGATAAGTCTATTGATATTTATAAATAATTATAATATTAAAAATAATAACAAATGGATTTGTATTATTATAATATTTTAAATAAATAATAAATAATTAAAATAAAATAAATAAAAATAATAATAATACGAACATTAGAATTTACTGTAACTGTGAACTTCACATCATCAAGTCCATAAAAACTTTTATCAACTTTAATTTTCCATAATACATTATATGTTCCAGGTTGAACACATCGGAATTTAGAAAATATCTATATTTATTAAAAATATAACAAATATTTAATTCTATAAAAATAAACTATTAAATAAACTATTAAATAAAATTCGAAAATTAATAAGCTTGCACTTACATCAAACCACCAAACGTAATTAAGATGAATAACCTTTCCATATTCACTGAATAAATTTGATTATATTGTATCCATCGAATTAATTTAATTAATTTATAACTTAAAGAAGAAGTTTAAATTTGGTAATTACCTACTAAGATCCTCTTCGGTTTTCCAATAAGTTTGGTCGTCAGTATCTAACCAACCTACGATTCTTTCTTCGGCCATAAAATTAACCAATTTAGCTAAATGAATAAAAAAAAAAAAATATTAAAATCATATAATCTATTAATTAAATATATGTAACAATAATAGTATGAATAAATATATTACTTAATTTCTTATATAAATCCTTCCATTCGTGAGTCGATAAAGTTGATGTACCTTTTTTTACTTCTAAAATTCGACTATTAGGGTATTGATATATACACATTAATTGCCAGACGTAATCTTCATTACATAAATTATAAAGATATCTATCAACCTATAAATTAAAATAATCATATAAATACATGAAATGAATGTATATGCATTTACGCATCTAGATAATTACCAAAGAAATTGAAAAAATATCTTTAGCCTGCAAATTGGCCAAGATTTTATAATCAATTTCAACCGGAATTCTTGAAAAGATACTTCGATTATTAGACATTTTCCTTTTTTAAATTTTTTTAAATTTTTTAAATTTTTTAATTTATTAAAGTTTTCAAGGCGTAATATTACGTAATATTACGGATGATGCGTATTTACGTAATATTGTATAAATTACGTAAATTTACGCAATGAAATGATGGCTTAATGCATTAGTGTCATGTCAACACGCTATTCCACCATTCACATAGCACGTGCTAATTCAAAAAAATTTAGGAAAACATTTACACAAGATTTATAGAAAGGGATATTTTTATATAAGTCTGTTAATAAAAAATTTACATTAATAGTAATTTATTTAATAGTTTACTTAAATGTTTGTTTTTAGAATTAAATATTTGTAAATAAAATCGGTATTTCCTAAAATCCGACGTTTTTCAACCTTGAACATATGGAGAATTAAAGTGACAAAATTTTTTATGGTTCGATTCACAGTTACAGTAAATCGTATTATTATTTTTTTTAATTATTTAATATATTAATTTTTGATATAAATTTTATTTTCTGTTATTTTTATTATTATTTAATTATTATAGATATATCAAGAAATTCCGAGTATCTAAAGAATCTTGCGTTGTTTGTCGTAATACCTTTAAATATAAATGTAAAGATTTAGAATTCAGTTGAAATTCGTATAAGTTGAATTGTAAGTTTTAATTTAATTTATTTAATTTTTATAATTTATATTTTTTTACAGTGATGTTATAATGAGTAGTATCAATACTAAATAATTTTAATTTATATATTAAGAATTTTGAAAGATATTTTCTTTTTGAAATATATACGTTATACAATAATAAAATGTATTTAAAAAAAAAATAAATAAAATAAACATAAATTTGTTAAAATAATAATTATATAATAATATAAATAAATAACTTGTAATATAATAATTAACAAAATAATAATAAAAATAATAATAATAATAAACTTAAACATCTGCACCATTTTTCATCGTCTCTTTCATTACTACTTCAAATACTTCGTAATCATCAATCTTTACAGATTTATCATCAAAAGGCATAACATTTGGTTCATAAGTCTTATGTTTAAATCTAAGAGTACCATTTTGCATTAATAAATCAAATTTTCCAAATGAAGGACCACTTGATCTCCAACAATTTAATGCATATCCATAATTTTCTGCACGTAATCTCGCCACTTTACCTTGATAATTATTATTATTATTATTATTATTATTATTATTATTATTATTATTATTATTATTATTATTATTATTATTATTAT